AATAAATTTCATATAGAGAAATATATCTTTTTATTAGTCTTCTCTTTTCAAAATAAATGGACTTTTTCTCACACCACCCATAAATACACCGATAATATCTTAATAAGATCATTACACTTCCTGTATCCAATACCCAGCTATGCAGGCCTTTTTATATTTATTCTTAAATTGTTTTACACTTGTACATTGTTTTAAATCATCACCCAATCTATTCCATAATTTTACACCACTCACAGATATACAAAAACTTTTCCTAGTTGTACGTATGGCCTGAGTTTTTAAATTTAAGTGGCCCCTCAATCCATAACCACCCTCTCGATCACCAAACAGACCCCGAATACCACTTGGCACCAAATTATATCTGACTTTATACATAAATACAGCAGATTTGTATTTTACTAAATCAAAAAATTTTAAAAATCCTGAATGTGCAAATGATGAATTCGTATGATCCCTATAACCAAGTCCATGAACAATTCTAATGGCCCTTTTCTGTAGTTTAAATAATGAGCATAATGCGCTTTTGTATGTATTTCCCCAACACTCAACACAGTAGTCCAAATAAGGTACAAACATAGAACAGTAAAGAGTATGGAGTGACTTCTGATCCACAATATTTTTAACTCTTAGGAAAGAAAAGACTTTTTAAAAAGATTCTTTAAAATTCATTTATCACACAGACTTTACTCCATTATACCTTTGGAGCAGGCTGGAGATTTATACATGATGATGACATGTTACCTCTTGCCAACCAAATTACTTGTAATCCTAGTACCACTGTAAAGGAGAACCCCAACCTTGGTGTCCCTAAATCAATGTTAAAATAATCATCTTAATCCTGTCTTTGTGTAGGAGAGCCACCAGTTGAAGCTGCTGCGAACCCTGGAGGGCCACGCGTACGGCGTGTCCTACTTAGCCTGGAGTCCCGATGACACCTACCTGATCGCCTGTGGACCTGATGACTGCTCTGAGCTCTGGCTCTGGAATGTTCAGGTAACACTTATACTTGCAAGTTTATGATCCTTGTGAATGGAGTTTTATATGATCCTCTAGTGTGAAACCTCTAAAAGTGTTTTCATATGGCAGCATTTTCTGTGTGATTGTGAAAATAAGATGAAAAGCATAAATCCGTCATGTCAAAAAAAAAAAAAAAAGTCTTGAGCCGCCCTTACATATTCTGTATGCTGTGTATACTCAATGACCTCTCTTCCTCACTCATCCCTTCCCTGCCTATCCTTTCCTTTTTCTTTTCCTTTTCCTTTTATTCACCCCTCCCTCACTCTTACCTAATGTTTCCTCTGGCTTTCTCTGGTTTTCCACTGTCTCTGCCAATCCTCTCATTGACCAGACGGGGGAGCTGCGGACCAAAATGTCCCAGTCACATGAAGACAGTCTGACCAGTGTAGCCTGGAACCCTGATGGCAAACGCTTTGTCACTGGAGGGCAGAGGGGACAGTTTTATCAGTGTGTAAGTAGACAGTTCTGTTTTTAATATGACGTGTTTAATAATAAGTGCTTTTTTTCCTGGTTCGTTCTATGTGTTGGATCTCTAGCCATGAGCCTGATGATCCCCTAAGGATGTTTTGTTTATTTATTTTATTATTATTATTATTTTTTTTTAATTGCATTTTGTCAGGAAGCTGGTTTATATAAATGTCTATGTGTGTTTAGTGGATGAGAAGGTCTCTGGTGTAGTTATTAATGCATGTAAAGGTTACTGATCTTATTTTACACACATTTTATTTTAGTAGTAGTACAGCAAGACTCAGAACTCACAGCTGTTTCACTGTGTGACAAACCATATTATTTTAAAATGGATAAGCCAATGTTTTCCACTGAGCCACACTCAAATTACATATTGCTGACAGGAAGGAAACCAGTTTGGCCTTACATGTTCCTCAAATTCTAGTTTGTTTTAAAGTGTCTTTGTTGCACTGTGTTGGTGTCTGCGCAGAAAGAGCATCTAACAGGTGCTCTAGTTAAATTAGTTCACCATACTATGATTTGTCCATGTCAAGAATGAGAAATGACAGAAGGTCTGTTGTCTGTGTTGTCAGGACCTGGATGGTAACTTGTTGGACTCCTGGGAGGGGGTGAGAGTGCAGTGCCTGTGGTGCCTAAGTGACGGCAGGACAGTGCTGGCCTCAGACACCCACCAGCGTATCCGGGGGTACAACTTCGAGGACCTAACGGACAGAAACATGTGTGTCAACTCTAAACTTTGGCATCATGTAGAACTGTGAACACTTATGTCTTCAAGATAGCAAGGTTTCCATATCAGCTGCAGTGTACTGGGTGTGGCTGACTGCCTCTTTCTTGTTCTTTACAGAGTTCAAGAGGACCACCCTATCATGTCTTTTACCGTTTCAAAGAACGGAAGATTAGCTTTGTTAAATGTAGCAACTCAGGTGAGCCTTATGTCCAAATTCACTTTTGGCAGTATCGGTTTATTTGCTTAATAAGCACATTGTCACTGTGTTTTGAGGAACAATATACAGGACATTTTTAATAGCTGTAATCCGTTCCCCTCTAACCTTTTGTAGGGAGTGCACCTGTGGGACCTTCAGGACCGGGTGCTGGTGAGGAAGTACCAAGGTGTGACCCAGGGCTTCTACACCATCCACTCCTGCTTTGGAGGACACAATGAAGACTTCATTGCAAGTGGCAGCGAAGGTTAAAAATTACAATTCCATGATTGATGCTGCTAACAATTTTATTACACTGTAGCACATAAACTTCAAAGTTCGATTCCCTGGATTATCTTGGATTTTCTTGGGAGAGATTGTTCATTGTAGAATGGCATGGAGGTTATTACTCTGTGGCACTAATCTAGGTGCTCCAGTATTCACTCCCGTGCATGTCTCTACTTTAACCTGTCATGTTTAACTTGCCATTCCCTTCACAGACCACAAAGTGTACATCTGGCACAGGCGTGGTGAACTTCCCATTGCTGAGCTAACAGGCCACACACGCACCATTAACTGTGTGAGCTGGAACCCAGCCATCCCAGGACTCATGGCCTCCGCCTCAGACGATGGCACAGTGCGCATCTGGGGTCCTGCACCCTTCCTTGACTCACAAGAGGCAGATGGACTCAGTGGTAATTTCCAAATCTGTTTAACAGTGTGCACGTGAAATTTGTTAGTTCAGAATGATCGTGAAATCTGTGTAAATGTTGTGTAACATGCTGCGCCATATCGGTGGTTTTAGAAATATAAAAATGTTACTTTTACTGGCTGCTGTTATTGTTACTATTTAGTTTTCAACCACCACAATTGTTGCTGCAGCTATATTGACCTGGTGTCTTTCTTTTCTTATCAGAGAACTGCAGTAAGATGGACAGTTGATGGTCACTTATGGAGCAGATGACCTCTCTCTTTAACAGCAATCCACGAATCCCACTTTAAAACAAAATCTAAATGGGCAAGTGAAATTTAACAGCAACTTAAAGGAAAACAAGAGTAACAAATAAAAGCAACCAGTACAAAAGAGAAAACAAAAAGTGAGAAGAATTTGTCTCCTGACTGGCCTCGACAAAATGGTGGAGGTGATGAGAGACTGAAAATTTAAGTTCTCATCCCAAGCTTGATCCCAACCCAGAGGCCTGGAAAACCAGTCAGCAGCCCAGTGGGATAAGGCCACCATCCACTGGTGAGCTACAACAGCTGTTCTCCTTCTCCAGCTGACCTTTCTTCCCCCATTTTGCTGCATGGTCACCAGCCATGCCAGGTCCAGAGTTTCCCAGGAAACCCACCTACATCTTGAGCTTGGAGCACATCACGTCCCCCGATGCCTCCAGACAGACAGCGCAGACCAGCCGTCTACTCATTGGACTACATCCGTCTGCCTGTCTGCCTCTCACGCTACCTGTTTAATGTCTCCATGGACACGGGTGGGGTGTTGTTTGCAGAGGATGGTGAACGGGGCGATATAGCAAGGCTAATCTGTACGTGATTTCATCTTCCCCTGTTTCTTGCTATATTTGCATTCAGTCTGTTGGACAAAGGCTGAAAATCCACCATAAAAACACTGACCAGCTCACAAAGAACACAAAAAAACTCGGCTATGCTAAATGTTGGAATTTTTTTATGATAGTCATAGCGTTTATTCTCATTTAAAAAGGTGATTCTTAGCTCAAGTAGTGCCCGTGAAACTTTAGTGTGAAGATGACACTTTTTCTTTCTCGACATTAGGAAAACAAACCTTTTTATTCCTTAATTTAACTTCTAACAAGGACACTTGCTGTAATATGTCCAACCTATAGCCCAGCCCAGCCCTTCTGTCGAGCTAGCTACCGCACAACTCCATTACATTTGCCTAAGAGAAGGACAGAGGGATTCACAGGTCACATATCAACACTGAGGGGGTCAGATGTTGTCGGTGGAGTTTCCACTGCCAGGATGTACACTATGACCTAACTCAAAATATGTGAAAGAGTATGCAATCTAAGTGCAACTTAGATTGCATACCTGTGACTGCTGTCCCAGACTGCTGTGAGCGAGTGAGCGATTATGCATGCACACATTAGTGTGAGAGTTGACATTTGTGGGTGCAGGTTCAGTTGGCGTGTGTTTTTGTATGTGTGTTCAATTCACACCAGCAGAAGATTACCCCCCCCCCCCCAAACACACA